ACCCAGGGTTAAAAACTTTGCACCTATTTATAGTTTTGGAGCCAGAAATTGGAATTCTAATTAGCCAAATCGACCCTAAAATTACCTAATATGGTAATAATATTTTTCTGGAAAATTGAAATAATTCAGCCTCAATTAGTCAAACCAACCTAAATTAACCCAAGATCAGCATATGATTAGGCATCTCAGGCGTATAGACCAAAGGATTAATAAAGAGCCAATTGGGCTAGTATTGTATTAAGACCTCTTATTGTAGCACAGAATCATTCTCGTGCTATCCTAATTCCATTTTCAGCCATCCATCCATCCATCCAACTCAATCGCAATTTAGTTTTGGAGTCAAGTATGATACTAGTGATTACAGATCCGGTCTGTTTAAATAACCCAAGCGCATAGCATAAAGATATCAAAATCATTGAAATAAGTTAAGTTGGCGTTGAGTTAAGTGGGGTGAAAGTAGTGGTTAGTCTTTACTACTACCAACAAGTGTTTGTAGGGCAAGACTTACGGTTTTGTAAGGTCTGAGTTTGGAGTTGTGTTAGTATTCGAATTATTGGGTCTATTACAAACCCATTCATTGGATTGAACTTCATTTGAAAGGCAGCGCAATGTCTAAACCAACTAACACAGTGCCAATTCAATACTATCCTGGTCAATTTGGTGCAATACCAGTTTGTATCTCCCACATTAATTGGGTTCATATTCGTCAATTAGAGCACCAACAAGTAAGCACAAAGTCAAATTAGCATTATGATGTATTAGGCTATGATAGTGTTATGATAGGTCAAGATTGAAATTGAATTAGAATAAAAACCCAACCAATCCAATTCAACCAAACCAACCCAAACACAACTCAAACACAACCCAAACCTAATACTTATCTTATTTTAACACAGTTTATTATAACACATCCCAATACTAACCCAATTCAACTTAACGCAAATTCCAAATCCAATTTCAAATCCAAATCCAATTCCAATTCAAAATAACCAGGCCTAAACCCAACCTAAACCCAACCAAAATCTATCCTAAACCCAACCAAAACCCATCCCAATCCAAGCACTAGACATCATCTAAATACTAACTCATTACCAAACCAACCCAAACTTCACTTAAGTTGTTGATTGGCAATCTAGCTTTTAGTAATAATACACCCCGCAAAAATAAATAGAATGCAGCGACGTGTTGTGAAGATGCAAAGACATCTATGGGCCCAGAGTAACATGGTGTACGTTTCGGATGATTTTGAAGGCGCCTTTTGTGCCCTTCGTGGTTTTGCCTTCAAAGTTCATAAAGAGCCGCAACTTCAGTCAGGAACAGTCTCACTCTCACAAATTCAACGCAGTCTAGTTCAAGCTCAAGAAGGAGACTTCGTTGATGTCGTGCCAATCGGTATTTCGCGCCGAGCAGTTATTTCTACTCTAGAAATTTCCCTATTCGGTCGGGCCAAAGATGTCCATTTAAAGACGGGATTAGAGAAGCTTAGCCAAGACATTACTACTAGACTAGCCGGCATTCCTTTAACTGAAGGCCAAGAAGTCTACTTACCCATTGCTGGAGAAGAAGATCCAACTAAACACCTTATATTTATTGGGCGGATTGAACACCTAGAAACACTTGACCAGGCAGTTATTGGAGTAGTTCAGGCCGACACTAGAATAAGCATTAAAGAACATCCTGAGATAACAATTTTAGGTCTAGAGTCGGCCCTAACTATCACCTCAGATTTCAACTTCCAAGAGATGGAGATTGGTGGCCTACAAAAAGCCTTTGGAGAAATGTTCCGACGAGCGTTTATTCAGCGTACTTACCCCCCAGAGTTCATTCAGAAGATGGGTATTTCTCATATCAAAGGAATTATGCTTTACGGTCCACCAGGAACAGGAAAGACTTTGATTGCCAGGAAAATGTCAGCCTTATTGCACTCGGCTCCACCTAAGATAGTTAATGGACCTGAGATTTTAAACAAGTACGTGGGACAGAGTGAAGAGAATATTAGGCGATTGTTTGAAGACGCAGAAGCTGATTATCGCAAGTATGGTGAGAAGAGTCCGTTGCATGTAATTATTTTTGATGAGATAGATGCTATCTGTAAGTCTCGTGGATCGTCTAATGGAGTAGGTGATCAGGTAGTCAATCAACTCTTATCTAAGATAGATGGGGTTGAGTGTCTGAATAACATTTTAGTGATTGGAATGACTAATCGGTTAGATTTAATAGATGATGCACTTTTACGTCCTGGTCGGTTTGAAATCCATATAGAGATAGCCCTACCGGATGCAGAAGGTCGATTGGAGATCTTGCGGATTCATACGCGTAAGATGGCTAAGAACTGCTTCTTAGGTCCGGATGTGGACTTGGCGGGGACAGCAGGTCGAGCTCGTAACTTTACGGGTGCCGAGATAACTGCACTAGTTAAGAGTGCGGCTTCTTTTGCTTTGGAGCGTTCGAAGAGAGTTCAGTCGGAAGTGATTATTGGCCAGGCTGATTTTGATCGGGCTTTAATGGAAACGGCTCCGGCCTTTGGAGTCAGTCGACGCCTCAGAATTCCAGAGCCTTTTTATACCTTCCCAAGTGCAGCGGCTGTTCTGGCCTTTGGAGATCAAATGGTGCAACGATTGATAACTGGAAGTTGTCCTAAGACATTATCCGTACTTCTTTCTGGCCGACCTGGGACTGGTAAAACTGTTCTGGCTGAAGCTATTGCTAAGTATTCAGAAGTACCTTTCATTAGAGTCATATCACCACGTGATTTAGTCGGTCGGGAAGAGAATGAAAAGGTGCATTACATTAAGCGCACGTTTAAGGACGCCTACCGTAGTACAGAGGCGGTTGTTGTTTTGGATGATATTGAGGGTTTAATGGACTATGTAAGCATAGGCCCTCGGTTTTCTAATGCAGTCTTACAGGCCATTAAGATCTTTGCTAAGAACCAGGAGAAGTTTAAGGTCCTAGTTGTAGGCACTACAGCTGATGCCAGTCTTATGGAAGAAGCTGGGATTTTGGGGGCATTTGATGAGCACTTGCCAATTCCAGTGATGACGTCAGAGGATGCCGCATGGTTTGCCGAGAATAGTGAGCTTAGGTGTGAAGTTGGCAAAACAATCCGTGAAGTAATCCAATAAACAAATTAGGTTGAATAGTGTATCTTATCTTATCTAAGCTTTGGGTTATTATTAGTATAGTATTATTATAATGTTGGGTTAAGTTGGGTTGGGTTGTGTTAGATAAAGCATCAAGTTTAGTTAATAGTCGGCTTCTAGTATAATCACTGTCAGCTATCTTTGTTTGTATAGTTGACATATATCACCATGACCAAACTCAATACTAACTTAATACTAACTCAATACTAACCCAATGCAATAGAAGTATAACGGATAGTTATCGCAAGAAAATCATTATTCATTGGGTATAAATAGATAAGATAGTTGAGTAAAGAAAGAATGTTTATTAGCAGTCCAAGTTAGTTAGGGGTGGCATAGTAGCCATCAAGTACAAGTTTGCCTTCATCTTGGAGTTCTTCTAAGGTAGAAAGCAGTGATTTTTCGGTTAGGCGGAACTTGGGTAGAAGACGTTCTAGTAGGGCTGGAATAGTCGAGCCTTTGCCTAGAGCCTTAAGAACTTCTTCCTTAAGATCTTCTTCTTGCTGAATAGCGGCAGTAGTCTTTCCGGAATGGATTAGCTCCATGTCAATTCGACCGGTAACTGGATCAATGGCATAGATATGAATAGAGTCTTTGATTAGTCGCATGGCTTCTTCTACATCCTCTGGCTCGACTTTAGATGAGAGTCGCATACGAGCATGCGCCTCACTAAGCCGAATAATACTTTCCAGCTGTCTCGTTGTGGCGGTTACACTCTTGCCATTACCAAGTAGTCTTAGCTCTTGGTAGCCCTTAGATATCTTTTCAGCTGATTCTGGAGTGATCCTGGGATTGATTCGACGGCCTTCTTTGATGTACTGCTTTAAAACCTTAGGATCAATGGGACCTTTACTTTTATCTTCTTCCCCAGCATACAAATCAATGATATAAGAACTAATTTCCCTATCTCGAACCGGATCGATCTTATCAAGTAAAAGACAAACAATATCAAAACGACTTAGTAAGGTCGGTGGAATGTTTAGATTCTCAATAATATTCCGTTTGGGATCATAATTACTGCCAATCGGATTACAAGCCGCCAAAATAGAACAACGAGCATTAAGTGTAGTAATAATCCCAGCTTTAGCCACACTAACTGTTTGTTGCTCCATAGCTTCATGAAGAACACTTCGTGTAGATTCATCCATCTTATCAAACTCATCAATACAACAAATACCTCCATCACTAATAACTAGAGCTCCAGATTCCAAAATATACTGGCCACTATCTGAATCACGAGATACATTAGCCGTCAAACCAACTGCACTTGATCCTTTACCACTCGTATACACACCTCGATCCATTAATCGGTGCACACCCAGAATAAGCTGACTTTTAGCCACTCCCGGATCTCCAGCTAACAACACATTAATGTCACCCCGAAAACGAGCACCATTCAAGGTCTTCGTGACTCCACCAAACATCTGTAACAATAAAGCTTTCTTAACATCAAGCATACCATAAATAGAAGGGGCCACTGAAGCAGCTAAATCATGGTAGAGCGTCTTACTATTACGCAACTCTTCAATCTGGCCAAGAACATCAAAGCCATCTTGAGATTCCGGAGTGTGCGATAGCAAATTGAAACTAACCATTTCCAAGTAAGTATTGAATGAACTTTTGATTGTCCGGTGCAGATAGTTCAGTTTCAAAGGCACAGCCCGATAAATCCCAGAAATCTGCACCTTATCTCCAGGCACTAGCTTATCAGTCAGAATAGAATTAGCAATCACTGTAATGGTTGAAGGAACTAAACCGTCTTTGGACATTTCAGGGAGTTCTTGCAACTTAATGATCTGCTTATCCTGGAAGGAAGATAGCGAACTGTCCATTTCCATAGTAAACTTTTCACCACAAGCACAATCAACCGGCTCAGAGATAACTCCACGCACGACTTCTGACTTAACTGAAGCCTGGCACTTGTTGCAAACAAAGATAGCCGTAGTAATATCTGGAATTATACTACTAGTCTTAGTCACCATCCCTGTAATTTCAATTAAAGTATCAATATCACTAGGCATAAGATCACGAATGTACTTGGAGTTCTCAATGTTGTTAAGAATGATTTTGATATGCGGAGCAGCTGAAGGATACCTTTCTAAATAAATATCAGTAACGGCAATTTCCAAAAGAGGAAAAATCTCAACTGGATAATGAAGTATTTTGCTATGCAAAGAAAGATACTTATCTGACTTGAGATGAGTACAATCAATCTTTAAAGTTGTTCTTTCAACCTCGTGCATTTCTTCCAGCATGGATAAGTATGGAGTGCGGCCATCTTCGGTCGTATAAGATCGGATAAAGTCTTTAAACTGCTCGATTGTATCATGAATGTTAATTGTGGTTCCCCAAACCACCCGGACGTTCTCCTCGGTCTGTGCTCTGATTGGTTCAACCAGATTTTGACAATTCTCGGTGCTGAAAGAAGATGTGTTTTTGGTGGCACTGAGGTACATTTGACTGGCATCTTCGAAAGAAAAGGCGACTGAATTGGGTTCTCCTTGGGTACTATCGTCAGCCATAAGAAATAATGAAAATCGAAATCATGAATCCATTTATTACCAGATTAGGGAAAAACTGGTCTTAAGAGAAGTAAAGAAAGGAAGCAAATAAAGACAAATAGGGCGCCTAGCCATCTTTTGATTAGAAGACTTCGTTTCTTGCGGCGTAGGATTTCTTCGAGTTCAACTAAATGGTTTTGGGAGTATTCAGCTGAAAATTGAGTATCATAAGAAGTCTGGTCAATTCTTTCATTTTGGACAGTAACTACAGCTTCAATGAATTGGGCTTTTTCATGAAGGCGTTCCATCTTATCGGCTACGTCTTTAATGTCTTGGGTTTTTGGAGGGAGTTGGGGTTCTTCAATGGTGGTGGATTGGGAGGGGAGGGATTCGGTATGACTTTCAAGACAGTTTTTGAGACAGACAAGGCAGTAGTTGTTGCCAGTTGTGGCTGTGCTATTGAGGGAGTGCCACTGGTCAACAAGTTTAGTAAATTCAGATACTTCGTCTTGGGATATGTTAGGATGCAGGGAAATAATGCTTTGATTGGTGCCAATCAGACCTTCAGAATATTCAGTTAGTTGCTGCTTGCGCTTTAAACAGGGATTCTTGGCATGGCGAATAATGCGCAGGGTATCTTTTAGGGCGCATTTGTTGCTGTAGAAGGCTATTTCCATGTGTACCTGGGATGTACGTGCTTTATAGATTGGGTTTCATCTTGTTTGTTGCCATGGCAAAAGATACAGTTCTGACGTAAGCCAGGTAACCAATCATTATTTGAATTGAGTTGGGGTTGGGTTGTGTTGGGTTGTGAATGGACTAGTTGAGCTGAAACAACTAAAAGTAACTCTGGTATTTATTGTGGAGATTCAAAATAATCTTGGTCGCAATATCAACTGGCCCAAACTTTCTTTCGCCGGAAGTGAAATCAACCCTACATTCATGGAGTTGAATTGGAATAAAGACTATCAAAATGATCGTGCTGTTAAAGGTTAAAATGTTTTGTATCTAGCTTTTGGGCTTAATTGTAATGTTGAAACTAAATCTGACAATGAAAGATATTGAACAACTAATTCAGTATAAACAAGGAGATTCTAGTAGACCCGTAGGTCTATCTAAGCTCCAATGGCAGCGACTTCAAAGGAATGCAGAGAGGTTTCTGCTCTACAATAACAAGTTGTACTACGTAGCCTGTAGCACAGAAGGCAAGAACCTGCTCGAAGTAATCGGCAATGATGACTCTGTGAGACTAAAGAGCCTCGTCCAAGCCCAGCACATCAAAGAGAAGCATGCATCGACAAAGAATGTTTATAGATTCCTGCGAAAACAGTATATGGGCTTCACTCGACAAACTATTCTCAGAATAGCTACCGATTGCTCTAGATGCAACAAGCCTCCTCCACCAAAGCAAACCATTCCCCTGCTGGATATTGAAGATGTGCCGCCAAGAATGCACTTGCTAATTGACTTTATTGATATGCGCTATTGTGCCGAAGCAAACGATGGATATGGATGGATTTTGACAACTATAGATGTTTATTCTAAGTATCTAGTGGCTATGAAAATGAAGCGAAAAACAGGCAAAGCTGTTGTTAAACAGCTGCAACAACAGTTTGCTGTGTTTGGTTGTCCATGGATAGTAAAAAGCAACAATGACCCTGGGTTTGTCAATGTTGGCGTCATCGCTTTTATGAAGGAGTTCGATATTGAATACAGGCACGACTCTCCTCGGCCTCCACAAAGCCAAGGTAAAGTGGAGTGTGTTAATCAAAGTATAATTCAGGGTTTGTTCAAGGATAGATCAAGTGACAATCCCGATCGTTGGATTGATCAGTTGAATGATGTTGTTAGGTCCTATAACGAACAATGGCATCAAGCCATCAACAATACGCCTATTGACGTGTGTTATGGCTGGCCGATGACTAACGGCCGCCCACTCCAGGATGAAGAATGTCAAATGGTTTATGACTAAGAAATCGAACGAATGTACTCTGGCGAACAGAAGGACACTGCCCACTGGCTTAATAGCAATTCAATAACACTCCAAACATAGTGCTTGTGCTGGTAAAGATAACTCCAATACTAACCCAATGATAGATGCCCTGCACCAGCCAAAGTACTTGGTTGCAATGAGCCGGGTTAGAGATGTATATATAAAGGTAAAAGAGCCCGCACCCAGAGATAAGGTTTTAGTCGTCAAGCATTATAGCAATAGCATTAACAATAGACGATGGCCCGGCACTAGCATGTACTTAACGAACTCCGAAATCATACTACGCGGTGCTGGCAAATACAACCGGGAGACAAAGCACAAAGACAAAGAGACATGAGCGCGGCTGGATATATTATTACTACGCACTGATCAGAAGGAATAAAGATCACTTTTAAACTATTATACCAAGTTTATTTATATCTAAAGAGTCTGATTATATACAAGGACTAGCTTAGTAGTTTGGGTTGAATTTATTGATTGTGCGGGTAAATTCTTGGTCTAACAGGGATTAGTATCTAGCTAAACAAGGTAGATTTTATTCGCTGAAATATCTTCAGATAAGAAAAGAAGATTTCCTTTGGATTGATAGATAATTTCAAAACAGTCGCCAGATAATGTGAATTCAAGTGAATCTAGCAGGCCAGTGTGTATTTTAACCTAGAAATTGTTATACCAGCTCAATAAGACATCTTTATTACTTTCAGCTCCAGCCACCTCAAACCCCACTCCAGCTTAACCCAATACTAACCCGAGAATGACAAAAGTCACTTTCAGTGAGTTTCAAATCGGACTTTCCATCTTTATTGAGTTAGTATTGCGTTGGTTGGGGTAGGATTAGATTGCGTTGGTTGGGGTGGAGTGGAGTGGAGTGAGATAGAATGTATGCTAGGACTAGCCAGGGCGCTGGCTTTGGAAAAAAGCGTAGACTGTATCTAAGTAGTCTCTATCTTGATTGATAGTTGTGGATAGTCCTTTCATTTTCTGAAGATGGGCCTCTGCAGCTGTATCATAGGCGCGTTTGTGAATGGCTTCTTCAATCAGTCGTTTTCGGGCAAAGTACTCGACTTCCGGGGCAATAGGTTGTTCAGACGCCAGGGCTTGCTTAATGTACGGAGCTACATCTAGAGTTGGAATGGGGGTTAGTACGCGCAGGAGTTCTTCACTCGCTTCTGGATGTTTAGCAGCAGACTTAAGCATAGTTTCTATCCAAGCTGGAGCAACTTGATTGGTCTTCTGGTAAAAAGCAGCGATAGCCGCAGCTGCATACTTGAATTGCAAAAAGGAAGAGCCAAACGTAAACAGACTATTGCAATCTTTCACAAAATGCCGGGAGTAGATTTTCACCCGGGCATACAAAGTCTCCAATAATTCATCAATCTTGCCCTGTTGTACTAGTACTACTTGAAGAGCTGAGTCAATCCGTTGGTCCGGCTGATTAAAGGTATACGAGTATTTAAGCACGCGTTCGGCATCTTGGTACTTCTCAGTCTGCATAAGAGTAACTGCCGTTAACAAAAGAGTCTCATTATCTACTACTTCAAAAGGACACTGCTGCAAGACTTGAATAGCCTCTGGTATTTTACCTTCCAGGAGTAAGTGCGTACAAAGAGTCTTGGCATACTTAGCCGTTTTCAAAAGCGAGAAAGCCTCATGTAGAACAGTTGTATCGACTGTTAACTTACCAAGAGTATATAATAAAGTGCCTAGCTCAATACGCAGCATAGTAACTGCTTCACGGTTAGATTTAGTATTCATAAGAGCCAGCAGAGCCAAATCGGCCACTTCCTGATTCTCTAACTTATTTCTTACCTCAGCAATCTTCTTGGTTAGTAAAGGCACGGCCAACTCTTTCTTCTCCGCTAAACAAAGAGATTTGATAAGTAAGTTCAGTTGATTGTGCTTTTGAAAATAAGTATAAGCACTACTATGTGATCCAACTGCAGTCAAAGCCTGGGCATAAAGCAACTCTCTTTCCTGCTCATTACAAGGACTGTCATCTAGTTGCATAACGTACTCAATAAGAGACAGTCGGGCTAAAGGTCTGTTCTTAATCGTTTGGGAATAGACTAACAAAGCTGCTCCATTCACCTCTTCCAAAAGAATTCGTTTAGCTAATGCTTCCGCCCGGGCTTGTGACTCTTCATCCGAGCGAGTCACTAAATACTTAGCCACCAGTACTAAGCACTCTACTTCCCTACTTACTAGTCCATAAACCAAATGTGTTTCTTGTGGGAAGAGGAAGTATCTATCATTAGCTGGAATTTGTCCCTCTAAAACTTCCAGCTGATTAGTATTCGGTACCTTCCCCACTCTTTTCTCTATAGCACACTTAAGGATGGGAGCCTCCTCTACTTGATTAGCATACATCTTAGCCGTACCCCCAATAAAGACCCAATGTAAATCCAAAGCCTCTTGTAACAAAGTAATAATCTCTTCTATCTTTACTGAGTTATCAAAAGTCTCTACTAACAAAACATTAATCTCCAACTGTACCAAAAGCAAATCAACCAACCTATCTCCAGATGCACCAGCACTAGCCCTTTCCAAAAGTTGCAAAGCCTCTCTAGCATATCCAGCCAGTCGAGCCGAAGGTTCCGTAATCGATTTCAAAAACAAAACAAAGATATCTTTAAACCATTTCAATTCAGTTTCAATCAACCAACCACTTTGCCGCACAAATGAAGTAAAGAGAACCAAAAACTCCTCAATATTACTCGGTCCCCGCACAATAGAGGCTTCTAGCACCTCATAAATACGTTCTTGTATCTCCACAGACAGATCACAGTTATGATAAGCTTGCAAAGTAGCAACTACTTTTTGTATTTCCAATAGAAATTCAGATCTAGCCGCACTATTCAGTTCAGCCATGAAAAACTTTGCTATCATCCAGATATGTATTGAACTGGATTAAGTTATGTGATGTTATGTTATGATATGTTTTGATATGGTGAGTTTTGATGTGTTTTGATATGATATAGTAAGTTTTGATAAGTTTTGATAAGATTAGTTTTGGTAAGTTTTGAATTTATTATTAAGATAAGATAAGGTAAGTTTTGAATTTATTATTAAGATAAGATAAGTCTAATACTCAATCCCAACTCAATACTTAACTAACACGTACTCTATTAAAGATATTCCTTGAGATAAATAGTGTCATTTATTGAGTAAATAAGAGTGTAAATGAGGATGACGTCATCTTAGGTTAGTGTTGGTATTAGTAAGTAGTAAGTAGTAAGTAGTGAGTACTAAGTAGTAATCAAGTTGGTAGTATTGGCTAGTAGTTGTATGACAGCATTACAATAAGTTAAGATAAGATAAGTTTTGAATTTATTATCAAGATATGATAATTTGAGATAACAACTCAAGATAAGATATCTCACACAACACAACATACGAAATCAAAACAAAATACCAACTAAATATGAAGGTAAAGTTAAAAGACTTTATTGCTAGTTTAGCTTAGCTTAAACACTTAAGCAGCTGGGGCAGCCTCGGCCTGAGTAGTTTCAGTTTGACTAACTTCAACTTGACCTTCACAGTCCTTTTTAATGCCAGTTTCAATATAGTTAAAGACTTTAGAGGCAAAGTCACCTAAGTTCTCAATCGGGTACCCACAAGCCAATAAAGATGTCTCATAAATCAACTTAATACCACTTTCAAACTCACTGTCCTGACCCGCATCAAACTTACGTTTCAGTCCCTGGACAATCGGATGGCCCGGATTAATCTCAAAGATCTTCTTCGTCAAGTACCCAGAAGCAAACATAGGATTAGAAGCCTGACCCGGCTGAGTACGCATAATATGCTCCATTGCTCCCGAGTAGGAGTACTTACCACTCTTAATCGTACAAGCACTCTCTACCAAATCACCAGATAGAACAACCTTCTCAACTCCTTCTCCTAAAACAGTCTTAGCCTTCTCTACAAAGGTCTTATAATTCTCCTCCTCAGCTTGCATATCCTTAGTCTCACCAGGTAGTTCTAAACCATCACTAGTAATTCTTTGGAAAGGCAAGTCATTGTACTTGTTCAAAGCCTGAATAGCAAACTCATCAATTGGTTCAGCCATGTAAAGTACTTCGTACTTCTTGACCTTCTCCAACATAGGATGTCTCTTCAACTCGTTTAAACTAATACCCGTTAGAATATAGATCTGTTTTTGTCCTTCGGCCATACGACTAACGTACTCATCAAGAGAGATAGGTTCTTCACTCTTAGAAGAAGGGAAGTACAGGAACTTAGCTAGTTTTTGCGCAATATCACTAGATTCCTTGTAAATACCTAGTTTAATATTAGTTGCACCGTGTTTGTAAAATTTCATGAAGTTTTCCTTATCTTTAGATAAGTCTTTGAACATATCAATAGTTTTCTTAACTAAAACCCGCTTAATCAAGTTCATAACTGACTTACCTTGAACTACTTCTCGAGATACATTCACTGGAATGTCTTTAGAACTAACTACTCCATGCACACAGGACATCCATTCGGGTACTGCTTCCGATAAGTCACTAGTAATAAGAACATTCTGAACGTACAACTTAATATTGCAAGGAGGTTTACTTCCCCTATCAAAAACACCATAAGATGGATGACTTTGTAAGAAGAGTAAAACTTGCATTTCAATATCACCGCCTTCAATAAAAGAATGGTTAACAGCAATATGCTTCTCCCAGTCGTTGGATAAAGTCTTGTAAAAACTCTCATACTCCGCTTCAGTAATAGTCTCCTGACGAGGATTTCGTGACCAAATGGGAGCTTGAGCATTCAAGTGCTTGTACTCACCTTCAGTATAGGTCTCTTCAACCTCTTCACTCTCCTTCTCTTCATCAACTACTTCATCGGCCTCTTTAATCTCTCCATCCTTATCTTTATCTTCACCTTCCTCCTTAATCTCTTCTACTGGCTTATCAGTATCTGGTTTAGGTACTTTTCTGGTCTTTTCTGATAGGACGTAAAGATAGATAGGATAAGCTACAAAGGCTGAATGGGCCTTAATGATATTCTCTAACTTAGTAGTATTTAAGTACTCTTTGCACCTTTCGGCAATATGAAGGACAACTGAAGTACCTTGAGGGACTTCACTATGGTACGGAGCAATAACAAACCCACCCGGTCCTCTACTACTCCAGATATAAGGTACATCTTCTTCCTTTTTAGTAATCACATCTACTTGATCGGCTACTAAGAAGGCTGAGTAGAATCCAAGACCGAATTGACCTATTAAAGCACCCATATCCGGATTCTCAGTATTAGCAATCTTCTTTTTGAACTCTTTAGTACCACTAGTAGCAATACTACCTAAAAAGTTGATTAAATCGGCTTTACTCATACCAATTCCGTTATCAATAATTGTGATTGTGTTTTTATCACTATCTGGGACTATTTTAATGGCTAATTCTTCATTGCAAGTACCTGAAACGTAAAGAGATCTTTTTCTCTTATCAATTGCATCACTAGCATTAGAGATAAGCTCTCTTAAAAAATAATCTTTACTGGAATAGACTGAATTAATCAAAATACTTAATAAACTATCGACTTGCGCATCAAACTTGTGTTCTTCTTCTTCAGAATTGTTAACTAGATTAGAATCTAGCTTTGGGGCTTCGGCAGAATAAGTTGGGGGCATTTCTTGTTTGATTTCTTGCATGACTTTTTGAGTTTCGATATCTAGAGATTCTTCATGTTTATGTTGGGCTTCTGATTGTTGCATGAGACTGTGGAAATTTTGTCATTATATAGTTTTACAAATTCTGGAAAATTCCAGATTAGATTAGATTGCATTAAGTTGTGTTTTGGTTTAGTTTGGTTTGGTAGGGTTAGTATTGAGTTGGTGTTGAGTTAGTATTGAGTTAGTATTGGTGTTGGATGGGAAGGAGATGGTATGCCTTGTTTAGGCTATATCATGAGTTAATGTAAAAGAACATAAATTAGTAGTAGTCTTGAAATTTTCCTTTTTGGGTAATTTTTACTAAATATTGAATTGGGTTAGTATTGGGTTGAGTTGGGTTAAGTTGAGTCGGATTGGCAGTGGTAATACTAACTAAACCCAACCCAACCCAATCTTAACTTAACTTAACTTAACTTAATAGTGGCTATCAAAAGCTTTGTGTGAGTGTCCTATTCGGAGTAGAAGAGAAGTGTTAAAGGATAAAAGTTTAGACGAGTTGAAGATGGGAAAGTGACTTTATTATTCTGGTCAGACCTACTTAAGTTAGTATTGAGTTGAGTTGGTGTTGTATTAGTATTGAGTTGGTGTTGTATTAGTATTGGGTTAGATTGTGATAATAAAAGAGTACCTGTACGAGTAAGACTTATAATTGGTTAAGATCAATTTAATATTTGAATTTAGCAAACAGCTTAGATAGTGATCTAGACTAAACCTCTTATACAGATATCTTATCTTTGCAAATTATTGGGTTAAAAATCAAAATCTAAAAACCATCCAGCTTATCTCAACTATCATTTTTATATACCAATTAACTCAATCCCAAACCAATCCCACTTCAACCTAACCTAACACAACCCAACTCAATACTAACTCAACTCAACTTAACTCAACTTAATGCACTATTTAGTATGGTACTACTTGCTGTATGTTCTTGAGGGTAAGGTTAAGCACGGGGGTGTGCTTGGCATGGGAGAGTCGCCAGACCGCCGGTGAGTCCAGAACTAAGATAGTATCCTTCTCAAGCTGGTGTACTTCTTGTACACTCGGATGTACAGAACAGACTAACTCATCTGTTTGATCGGCTAAAACCACTTGATCGGCCAAATGATCTTGTAAAGGTACCTTAATATAAGCAATGACTAGTCCCGGGCACTTCAACTGATCAGATTTACGAATCGTATGTAAATCAACTACTGACTGCTCAGTATGCTCCTGTTTTACCGCCAGAAGTCTAGACTGAACCGTAGGAAGCACTGTTTGCGTACAAACAACCGGATTAGACTCGGTACAACTGATTTTTCTTAAAGATAAGTTTTGATTTTGATTTTGGGTTTGATTTTGATTTTGACTTAACCCAATAGGGGATTGAACAACAGTAGACGATGAATTAGATATCTTACGACGCTTTAGATAGCTTAATACGTCATCTAGCATAAAATATTTTTATGTATAGCCAGGATATACTTGGATATTCGGTTAAACTTCCCGTTAAACCATATCCAGCCCAAATCAAAACAATGGAAACAATTTTGGCCTGCTTAGAAAGAAGTGAGTCCGGCATGGTAGAAAGTCCTACAGGTACAGGAAAGTCTTTTAGCATCTTAGCAGCAGTCAGTGCTTGGATTCAACGCATGAAAACCACCCAAACATCTGGTCCTGATGGTTCCACTGAAGTAGTTAAAGTTTATATCTGTTCGCGCACACACCAACAAATCAGTCAACTCATTGAGCAACTTAAGAAGATCCCAAATCCACCTTCTATGTCCGTACTAGGCAGTCGTAAACACATGTGCTTAAACCAAACTGTACTTAGAGATAACAAACTAGATCTAGATAGTGGTTGTAAAAACCAACGGAATAATGCCGGATGTACTTTTTATGATAACAAAGATAAGGTTGAGTCGTTAAATGTTGGTGTATTTAATATTGAAGATGTCAGTAAGTACGGCCGTAAAGAATCGGCCTGTCCCTACTACGGTGTACGTAAACTAACCGAACGGGCTAGTCTTGTCTTTGCTCCTTATAACTATATCATTAACCCGCTTATTCGTAAAGCACTTAGTATTAACTTAGAGAGTTCAGCTCTGATTATTGATGAAGGACATAATATTGAAGATGCTTGTCGTGATGCAGCTTCTATGGAGTTAACTATTCCTTTATGCAATATGGTACAACGTAAAGCAGCTGAAGGTATTGCTGAGTTAGCAACTGGATGTGATGATAGACGGGATGAATTGATAGGGGATTTTAGTGCGATTAAAAACATTGCTGATACGCTTATCACTTATATGGAAGCTAAAGCAGAAGAGATAAGAATGCTTAGTCAGAATCAGTCGGGATTTAATCAGGAGGTGGAAATAGCTATTGCTGAGCAGGAAATGGTAGCAGAAATGGGTAAAATGGGTTTATGTCCGGAAGCAGTAGCTCGACTAGTCGATGCTTATACGAGTCTTTCTCAACGCGACTTATTAGGACCTCGTGAAGGCCAAGTTCTTTCCCAGATCGTTTTTGTTGCCCAGAATATGTTGACTCCTGGTGAAACTCGCTATGCTATTATTACGGCTGCTGATAAGTTGTTATTTAGTTGTTTACATGCGGAAGTTCTCTTTAGGCCGATTGAGAAGATGGCTCGTTGTGTAGTTCTTTTATCGGGAACTTTAACTCCTTTTGAGCCGATCTGTACGGAGTTGACGAGTTTTGAGCCGGTGTTTAAGCACCAAGTCTTAGCCCCGCATGTAATTGGGAAGAATCAGTTGTTTCCCGTTTGTATTACCGGGAATGGCCGGGAGAAGTTTATAGGAACGTATAAAGGACAAACTCCGACTTATTTTATGGAGATAGGGAAGATTATTACGGAAATATCTAAGTCTTTAGGCCGAATTGGTGGTGTACTAGTATTTGCACCGAGTTATAGTTCTATTGATAAGTTAGCTAAACAAATTGGGGAGGTGACTGTTTATCGGGAATCAACTGATATGGGTATGTTTGAAAAACAGTTGAGTCTGTACAAGAAGAATAGTAGACAGGGATTTTGTGTCTTCCTTTGTGTTTTCCGGGGTAAAGCTAGTGAAGGAGTTGATTTTCGTGATCATGAATCCAGAGCTGTGGTGGTGGTAGGTATTCCTTATCTTAGTATTACTTGTAAGTCTAATATGTTGAAGAAGGAGTACAATAATCAGTACTTGCGGAAATCGGGTCAGACTTGGTATGAGCAACAGGCCTATAAAGCGGTTAATCAGGGGGTAGGGAGATGTATTCGGCATAAGGAAGATTGGGGGAGTATTTTTTGGTTAGATAGTCGTTATTCATTTACAAGCCATCGTAAAATGTTATCTGGTTGGGCGAGTGAATCAATGCAGGTTTTAAGTAGCTGGAATGAGGCTAAGCCGAAGTTTACGGCCTTTCTTAAGCAGCATGTTTCGGGTGTGGAAGTAGAGACTAATCGTGAAAACCTTCCTAATGGTCCCGATCAAGGAGCAGGAGTTAAGCGACGGCCGGGCAATCTAACTAGATACTTCCATTAATGTTGTAATCAAAATCAGTGTACTATCTTTGAGTTAGTTTGAGTTGGGTTAGGTTGAGTTGAGTTGGGTTGGGTTGGGTTGGGTTATAAAATGATGAGAAGAGATTAGATTAAGCTGGCATTGGGTTTGATTAGTTGGTTGGTTACAACTCTTAACAACTCAAATCAATAAATATTGATATAACTCAATTTGATAGAGTTAAGTTTAGATTGTGTTGAGTTTGGATTGTATTGAGTTGAGTTTATATTAGATTGAGCTATGTTGAGTTTAGATTATATTAGATTGAGCTATGTTGAGTTTAGATTAGATTAGATTAAATAGTAAGTTTATTATGTTTAGACTCGGTAGTGGGATGTTATTAGAGATGGTGGAGCTACTCGATGATTGATTTGGCTAACTTCAACTTAGCTTAATTAAGTACTGCTTTGATGTCATAGTAGAATTTATTGCATCATTTGGCGTCAAACCAATATAATTATAGCAGTATTTGACCGGAGTCTGGCCAATATAGTCCTAATTTTTGTAATTTGATATTTTTGTGAAACGGATTGGAATCAGAATTTTCATTGTTTTCATATTACCCAAAAAGGAAATATATATACTTTGTTTCTTGCAAAATTTTATGACATCACATTCAATCTTATTACAGATCGACCTTTCTGATTTTGATAGCCAAGAAGAAACCTTGGCAAGCTACTTGGCCAAGGCCATTGCCACTCGGCCGAAATCGGTTCAAAACCAAAGCGAAATCCAATTAAATGCGATAGATAAACCTATGATTTCCTTCAAACGAAGAGACCACATGACTGTTCAGTCCTACATAGCCGGTCTGACACTTATTGAGCCTCAAAGCGATATAAAAGCAAATGCGTACGACAGTTCTAAGTATGAGACTTTAGCCCATGCATTTTGGGCTATCTACTTAGAAAAATCTATCAATAATGCTATCGGTACATTGGATGAGAAGACATCAAGAAACCCCCAAGCCGTTGAAAAAGTAGTTCAAAATGTTATTGATAAGATATCTGATCCCAAGAACACAGAGTTTCGTAAAAAGATAGAAGCTTTAGAGACTCACATCCATTTGGGAGAGTTAGAGTTGATTGAGTTGGCTGAGAAAGAAATGGAAATGTTCGGTCAACAAGTAACTATTGGTAGCTTAGGAAACCGACAAATTGATGTTGCCTTTGAGAACTATGCTGATGCTTACTACCAAATGAAAGTAATCTTTTACAATCAGATTCTCTATAATAATCCAAAATCTGATCTGGCTGGTTCGCCTGAACACCAGCAGGCTTTCGCTCAAGTTAGACAGGCGTACTTAACACACTTATCTACAGCCAGAAACACCTTCCATGAAACTCTTAACCGGAATATAATGGGTGGATTCTTGAGTTTAGTGCCATACCTCAGTATGTTTAAGCGCTATATAATAGCTGGTTTTATGATTAAACAGGTGATAGCGGTGCAACTTTTGGTTCTATTTATCATCCAGCTTATCGCTCAGGGAGGTAGCAGTCCGATGAATTTACATCTGGGCAATGAGATAGGACCTTTCACGGTGCTAACTGCCTTCTCTATTTTGGCGTTCAACTTAACCTATGTGCTTCGCTCTGATCTGCCAAATGTACTGAGGTCTTCCAAAGTCTTCAGTACTAGACGCAAGGTTATGTTGGTGGCTAAATCACTACTGATATTCTTAGGTCCAATTTTGCTGGGTGCGCTGGGCGCGCTGGCTTGGGTTTTAGTGGTTAAGAGTGTGCCTGCTGAAAAATTAGCTAAGCTTAGTACTCAACATCTAACTGTAGGTAATGAGCTCGTATGCTATATTATGTTGATGGTTGGACTGATTGCTTACTTCATTTGGACGCAATTTACTACTGTTCTTAAGTACAAACACTCAAAGAGGAGAAGATTACAGATAATGACGGCTGTGTTAATGGGATATGTAGCCTTCAGATTGCTTCTAGTTAATAACTTTGCTGTTGATCAGTTCCCTAAACTTTATCAATAAGTGATTATAAACGTTGAATTTCCAATAAAAGTCTTGATTAAACAATCTAACAGTTTGTTATGGTTTTATTGATTGGTAGATTTACAGCTGATGAGTGATCAAAACGGCTGTAAATAATTGGCTTGTTTTGGAGTGGTATAGTTGGTGATTTAGTTTGGTTTGTGGTTGATATTAAAGTATGGATAGCACGGGTGTAATGCTCTGATTCTGTTGGTTGATCTGGCTTAGTATTGGATGAAAGTACAAATGAGTGCTTGGGCCGGCTAACCAATTATGATGGCCGTTTGGCAATTAAAGTATAAATACCGAGGCTGTTGGGTGGTGGAGAGGTAAATTGGACAAGGGTTGTGTTTACTGGCGCTGTATGAGCGAATACCCGCAGCAATCAATCCATTTATGTAGGTCTTGTTCAATAGCTTCTTCTCTTAATGTAATGTGAATAAAGATATTCCATTAGCTTTCGTTTCTAATTCGGAAGAGTTAGTATTCAGTTTTGTTTTAAGTGATTGGCTTGGTATTAGTATTGAGTTGGTATTAGTATTGAGTTGGTATTGATATTGAGTTGGTATTGGGTTAGTATTAGTATTGAGTTGGTATTGAGTTGACTTAACTTAACTCAATTTAACTTAACTTGTTGTGGTTTGTAATTCTGTACTGTCAAACTGAGATAGAGCTGTCATGTGAGGTATAAATAAAGCCGTGAGAATCATTCTTGCCATAGGCCAGATGGGTTGCATAGAGAGAGTAGTCGGCACATCTGGTCTATGGCGCAAACCCAATCGGAATGCTTCCTTTCGACATAATGCACTGAGACGAATGTGCTGAATACCAGCGATGGGGGCGCCGAGTATTAGAGTAGTTATCCCCAGACTGGTCTAATAAATATCTATTATGAGTAAAGCCAGGAGTATAGGCCTTTAAACAGTTTGTGAATGCATGAGGACATTTCAAATCAACCACTTTATTCATTCCGGCGAGTTTGTGCTGTACTTAATCAACGCAGTTAGTAGGAAAGTGTAGTAAACAGTGAATAAGTTTGAAGAATGAGTGAATTCATTGAGTTAGTATTAAGATGAGATTAGTAATGGGTTGAGTTAATATTGGGTTGAGTTAGTAGTGGATTGGAATGTGGGGAAGGGTTGTTGAGTTGGTCTGGTCACTCTGGAGATATGTAATGTAATTAACAAGTGCTGAGTTAGATAAATCAATAGGAAAGCGTTAGCTGTGCGGAGGATTGGCTGTATTGTCCCACCTATCAAGATGGCCGTGGCCGTGGTGGTCTGGCCAGCGGGTAGGAAGAGGTCCGGGCTGTCCCATAGCATAGATTGGAAGATGACTATTGTGGTGGTGACCATGAGAATCAATTGTGTAATTACCTGGCTGAACATTATGGCAGTCATGATGGCCAATGTGGTGAATGTTATGATGGTCATGGTGGATATGGTCGTGATGGACATGAGGGTCGTGGTGGATATGGTCGTGATGGACATGAGGGTCGTGGTGGATATGGGGGTCGTGGTGGTGATGAATATGGTGGTTTGCACAGTGTTCGGGCCGTGAACTGGGCGGATGTCCAAAGTGTGAGTATGGAGGTTCTACGAGCTCATAGTCATGATGGTCAGATTCTGAATCAGATGATGTGTTGGATGCTGAGTCGGAGTCGCTCTCATATTCATGGATGTGGCAAGGGGGGTGTTGAGGAGGCATTTGGTAGATGTAGAATGGTTGGGGCGGTACTTGATAAGTGTAATTGTATTGTGGCTGCTGAGGCGGTACTTGATAGTTGTAATTGTATTGTGGTTGTTGAGGAGGTGGTGGTACTTGGTAGTTATACTGGGGTTGTTGTTGGAATGGTACCTGGTAATTAAAAGGATATTGCCGATTTTGGTAGTTGAAGGTAGGTTGGGCTTCTTCATCGCTATCATCATCACTCACTTCATCGCTATCATAGAGGGCAAAGTTATGCGGCATAGGTGGGCTCCTTATATCATACTGAGCACGCGACGGACCTCCGGGTCTATTTAAACGCTTATTAAGATTGAGTCCATTATATAGCCTTGTCACTTCGTCCATCTCATGCTGGGATCTAGACATATGCTTGTGCTGATTATTATTGCGTTCATGAGTTGAATTGCCTTTACCAGAGCCATTAGTCGCGCCCCTATGCATCCTGCGATTAGTGTGTGACCCTTCTGCGTACATAGCACTTGGCTCCGGGGGTTCTTTAGCCTGACTACGGTTCCATAAGAATTCCTCCTTAAAATCGTCAAAGCCTTGCAATCCCGATTTAATTATTGGCCCGACTAACGGCAAAGTAACTAAGTATCCAGACCCCTTTATCGCACCAAGTAAAAGACAAGCTAAAGTCGCTGCATGCCAACTATTAAACAAATAGCCACCTAACAAAAACACCACGCCCAAAAATATCAAACTTGTCTGACCATGCACTATCAGCAAACAATAAGCCGATGCCGTATAGATACCAATTACACCAAGTCGAATTGTTGCTTCTCTGTATTTTGGATACATACTCCGCCCCTCCTCCTTCAATATATACTTTTCCAAATCACGCGGGTATTTTCCCTCTATCTATCTTCCAACCATCACCTCAACCTCAAAAGTCACAACCTAAATCTCCAAATACCCAAACAAGTCCCATTTTATTACCATCAAATTAAGATAAGCCAACAGACTAACTCATCAACATCAACTCAATACCAACTCAATACCAACACATTGTAGCAATAAATCAACTCAATACTAACTCGTCTTTATTACAACCTCCCCAACCATCTCACCACTCAACCTCACATAACCATCTCACCACTCAATACTAACGCAATACCAACGCAATACCAACTCAATACTAACACAACCTCACTTAATACTTACTCCTGCATGGAATACCCAATCCCAGGTATCTTTTCGTGTTCAAAAGCCACACCCTCCTGCTCGCCTGAAGTACTTTCGGTGGTCGGTCTTGATCGAGCCCAAAACTTCACTGTATTATCAACCGAACTAGTAGCTAATGTATGCCCCACCGGATGAAAGTCCATCGACCAAATAGTCTTATTATGCGCATCAGGAATAACCCTAATTGGATA